TGAGAGCGCTGTAGAAAGAGCAAATCAATAGCATATAATGATATCACTCATAAAGCCGTGTTGCATTACGGTGGCTCGCTGCACGGTTCCAATCATGAACGCGACCAGGCATAACGAGACAATTCTTAGCCTATGCGACCAGTCACCGTTGGGGAAGCACGTCCTGCGAGTCGAGCTGAGCGAACGCTGAAAACGATCTACCAAGTCATAATATACCATCCTGAACACAATTAGACTCTGTCGCTCAATCGGAACATACGGTCTAATCATGCTCTATCGCACTTACATACATTAACAGCGTTGAATCAGGCGAGTCATAGTTATTTATTTTCAGAGATTACGATATGTTTCCTGAATACTCAAGATGTGCAGAGTCCGTTGCATCTTGCTTTGCGAAAAAATCTTTAGAACGATAAAGCATAAAAAGGATAAAGCATTTGCCGTTGATCAATCCCTTTTTGGGATGCGGCACGCATTCTACTTCCATTTGTACATTCGCAGTGGCATTTGAATGCGATGTGGCCTATACAATTCGTAATAACTTGCCATCCTGGCCACGCCACACACGTAATCTGTTGCACAGATACATAGATGTAATTTATCCGTATTCTCCGCATACTCACTTCTGCGTGAACAGTCCGAATAGTCACACTTCTCGATGGTTTCACGACACGAATGTGAAGTTCTTCTACAGATGATATCGCGCTACCGCGGAAATCTCCTCATCTTGAGACGATCACCGCATTGAGATGTTGACAGTTGACCAATGACGACGACTCTTCCTCCGGCGGCGCGTGATCCAAACCCACCGACCGCAGGATGATACGCTATCTAGACACTTATAGTGGACAATCGCGCGCCGGGAAGGCACCATCTGCTCTCAACTGCCCCATCCCCTCATATCATCATGCGCGAGCGATCCTGACACACAACTGCGAGTCGCACACGGCTATACATACCGTAACAAACAGCAACCTGCGCCAACTGAGTTCCATAGCCAACAACATCATTTTACCAACTTCTAACCCCAATCATATTAAAAGAATTATTGATGTGATAAGGCAACTCTTGTCACCTAAGTCTAATGGAACACAATAAATATTGGGGGTGCCGCGCGAGAGTTACCATCACCAGAGCAGGTCTAAGATTTCCTCTAGCTACATGTGCATTCTATATCTCTATTATTGTGTTGGGCTCCTATAGCAGCACATTTACGGATTGCGCTAGACTCAACCACTATTGATTAGTCCTAGTATAGGCCTAATCCAATACCCTACAGTTTAACGCTAACCTAGCTGCTGGAAATAAAGGGTAGGTAAGGGGTCACATTTCTTGGGTTCTAGGCCATCTTTCATTGTTTCAACTTTTGACCCCGATATCCCTGCACTACTGACCATCTCTTCCTTGATTCCAGTGTTCTGATTTCTATGGTGGTCCATGTTAGAATTAGCGATTACCCGATTGATCTGTAAAATTAAGGCGTAACTCATAAACTACTTTGGTCTCAAAAGAACTCTGGCTCAAAAGAAGGCGATTTTAACGAAATGAAAAATAGCAAAGCTAACATCAGGGGCCGTATGCTGTCATTCTCCGAAGCTAGGTGATCCAAAGTTTCCTTTAATTTGTTTTGAACGATGTAGTTTCTTCATTTTCAGTGCATGTTTACTTTACCTACATACATACATTAAATGTAGGCCCTTTATCAGGGCAATCCCAGTTGGGAAGACAGAGAAAATTTAAAGGGATTTTCGTCCCCTAACCCTTCGGGGAGCATAGCATACGGCCCTTGAGCCAATAGCTAAGATAACACCGTGGTAAGCTCAATCAATGAAAGTAGACCAAGCTAGTTGGAGGCACCCTCCGCCCGACGGTTGACGGGGAACCAATCTTGTATGATATAAAGAAGAATTCAAACCTTAATATTCACTCTATATTTTTTTGATCCAAAGCTGTAATTGAGGAGTTCTCATAATAATCACGTACAACCATGATATATTAGTCTTTTGCTTCATGGGAAGTTTTGTGTATTGTGCAGATCATTCTCTTTTCGCCATAAAAGAACAGCTGATCCTTGCCGGCTCACCTGGGGTGTACTTGAATAGTGTTACGGTCATTTTAATGTACGATAAGCCATTGACAAACTGTAGCATGTTGAGATGGCCGAGCGAGGTAACGAGGAAGTATTAAGTTGGAGTTACCGTAATTTCAATGCGCAAAACAGAAAATCAAATACCTGAAGGAAAAGAAATGAAGTTTTGACTGAGACCTTCTAGCGGAAAGTTTTTGCCCTGTTGCGCTCACTTTAGAGTGACCAACGAAAGAGTGCAAAGCCATCAGAGCAAAATCAATATCCTTTGTTCGAAATTCAAATGTATACTTCAGGACTGCTTCGAGACGAGTTCAATCAATAGGAGTCACCCATCTCCATTTGAGATGCGCGTTCGTGAAAACTTCTAGAATATCTGCATAACACCAATTACTGGTACTTGATAAGGTCGTTCTAGAGTTTTGTTACTATGATCTTTGTCAGATTTATTGTGATTGATAATAAATGTATATTCATTAAAAGCATACAGAAGGAAATCGATGTCAAAGTTCCTTATGAATTGGGATAGAAGATGCACTTATTCATTCTTCTCATCTGAAGTGAGCTGATGAACAAAGAAATTCGGTAAGCAGAGAAGCAGCAGAGCAGAGAAGTAGCATGAGAAGCAGATATATGTTCTTGGGATGAGCCAATCACGCTACCGCGCGCATGAAATGGAAAGCCTAGGTGAAAGAGGACAGCCGATAAAGCGTTAGATTCACCGCTAAACATTGAGTGCTTCGTAAAATGCGTTAGCTGACCGTCCATAGGCTGCCCATCTTTGCAGAAGCTCACCGTTTGATACGCGCAGTGGAGTGCGGAGCTAAAGTGGTGTCTGTAAACAACCACCATGCATCGAATGTCGGTGTAATTTAGCGGTCGGATTGTGTTTGATGTTGAAATAGAAACACTCCAGCACTCGTTATCGTAAATGTTTCTTGAACACCCACAATATATTCTTAGTAATACTGGGGAGATTAGAAATTAGGGCGCAATGTGGCAGGGGGGGAGGTGGGCAAACAGCCAACGGGGCTAGCATTGAGCCAGCCTCTTCTCAAACGATTAAGAATTAGTTCCACGGGAAGCCACTTCCTTAGCTCATGCTTTGGCCTCATCAAACTCATCTGGGCCTCGTCTCAACAATGTTCGGCATTCTCTTCATCATCCAGCACTATCCACACAAGACATCGCAGTCACGAACAGATCCTGAGAAGAGTGACCGACAGGAGGTGAGCGGCAGGTCAGAGACGGAAAAGCTGAGCAGAAGTGGACGAGACTCTGCATCAAGAAGCACAGGAAAGAGTAGCACCAGACAACATACCGGCGAGAGCTAGGTCTCACAAAGAAAATCTACATGTCTTCTTCGCTGATATTGTTGAATAAAAATCGTTTTAAAGCTCAATCAGTACGGTAGTGACTATATTGCCTCTCAATTTGCTATAAACTTGTAGGGTCAGATTAACAGCACTTCTTTAAAAACTTAAAAGCCTTTTAGGAACAGCGATCACTCATCACTTAACCGATTACTTAATTCCGAGTTACAATTCCGTTTAAGTGTTCAAATTATTTATTGTCATCAATCGATAGTAATAAGGAGGGCAATAACATGTTAAGCTGCCACTGTGTTACAACAAAAAAAACCAACAATATTCGCGAACGAATTCCCCCAACTATCTTGAAATAATCTACGTATCAAGCATCCACCATGCGTAGAGCAATCGACATCGACATCAGCTCTTAGAATAATAGCTTGTAGGCATACGTTATACGAACAGCTGACACCTGGGTCTTGTTACGACAAGCCTGAAGCATCTAATTAGTGCTGGGAAATAACATCATAACAGAAAAACATAACACCTCGCATTCGAAGCTGTCCGTTCGGAGGTTTGCAACAACAATAAGGCCTTGTCGTCTACCACGTGTTTCAGACGTTAATAATATGTTGGTCCGAAGCAAATCTGAAGAAATTTAAGAATCTTACGGCTCTCTGCAAAAATACTCAAAAACTGCGGCGGATACATACCTGTGTAGCGAGTTTTGTTCCTGTATGTCCGTTATACATCACTTCGTTTCCTCCCATATGATACCCGTATTCTTGCAATAAGTCACTGATTTTCTACACGGCAGTATCGTTGAAAGGAGTCGCGTCATCGATTTTGCTTGTTTGCTGACAGCTAAACGTCAAAACTTTAGAGGGAAACAGAACAAGTCGATAAACACACAACAAACCTTGCCCTGCAGACATTCGATTAAATGGCCCATCGTCATACGAGATGGTACAGCGTGTGGATTAATAATGGTATCAGGCGTTAGTCCTTCACAGGTGAATGGCATACATCGTCCTGGAGAACAGTAAATCCAGTAAGCTCAAAAAGAACTAGGAGTATAGCGTATAGGAAATGCTGAATTCAAGTAAAGCAAGTAAGTAAGTACCGATAAGAAGCTCGGAGTTCACGAATTTCGCCTCCAATGTGAGGTAAATTTGAGTACGTATTCGATCTACGTAAATATTATTCTCTGTATTCACTATTTTTGCAGATACGTAGTCTGCCGAGCTATGCTACAAAAATTTACCACTAGAACTAGCGACTGATTAGAGCCTTCTGCAGAATCGAAACTCCTATTTTAACTTCTCAAACGAATTGACATTAGCCATTAGAAATCCTGATCTGAGCGTAAAATTTCCCCATGAATGAAGGAAGACACAGAATGATTTCTACATCCAAAATCCACCATTTTTCTTAATGTAAGACTAGCTCATCATAAATTTTCACTACTTCGGCGCAAAAAGCACACCTATTTCAAAACTTATGACAAATACTCACCCATGGTACCCTTCTGGCCATGCTGTGACGCAAATTTATCACCAATTTGTGGTAACCTTACTGAGCGCATACGGATTTTCACAAATTTATTACCGCGTAGAGCGAAACCATGACCTGGAATGAAAAAGTCCTAAAAGAATCATTAGTTTTGAAAGATAATGACCAGATAATACCTGGTCAATAATGCCAGTTTCTGAATTGCGAAGGAATGGTGATGCATCGCGCTTTGCGTACTTCTTACTGCTTGCATCCAAGCAGTCGTTCTGAATACTTGCCAATTTCACGCAGATCATGATTGCTTACAGTAATACAGGCTTCTCTAACTCTAAACTCACAGCTTAAGGAAGAGCCACTGTTTTGCCGATAATGACGTCGTCGCCAGAAATGATTCCATCGTCATCAAGCTGGGAATGAGCAACCATACTTCCGATATGAGGGTACGAGAGTATGACAAGATACCTTGTCATCATTACATTAAATCTGAAATTATGTGAATAGCGCGTCAAATATGTAGCTGAAAACAGAAAATATTCCATTCTGTTCACCCTACCCTAAGTATTGCATGGATCTTGTGGTGACAAGATTATTTATGGTCAGGGAATGGAATAATAGATACACAGTTTTGGTCCATACTCACATTTGGGTGTGGCAAAAGCCGACCCCATTTCACGTTGTGATAGACTATTTCAGCAGGATGGAAACATGACATCTTGAGCTCTCTTTGCAGCACACTGGAAGGTAAACGTTAGTTAATGGAAAGAATAACTCACGCCTGACATACTTTGACAAGAGCTCTAATCCCCACTCGAGGTGTCATTACTACATAGGCGTCGTAGGCGTCCACGTACTGGACAGTGTCTTCCAAGAATCAGATGTGGTGTTTCAATATTACCTAATTATATTTGCTTGGAAAGGTTGTTACCGAAGTCTTCGACCAAAACTGCTTTCTATTTATTCATAACGCTATCCAACACTGCGAACTGCTCAGGTACCTGCCTGACAGATGCAGGGACAGATACATGTCCTGTAAAAAGGCGGAGGACTACGGAAGAAACCCGCATTGCGACTTGTCGTACCATTGTTTAACATTGCCCACGCGTGCGCATGCATGCAATATATACCTGATTTCACCGAATCGGGACATTTACACACTGTTGCTGCAAGACACACACCGCGAAGTGGGCAGTGGGGCTTTTCCTAGAAAAAGCACTATCGATGGTAACTTCAAAACACCTAACATTTGATTGACGGTGTAGAATTCATATAAAAAACAACTGAACGTGAACAACTTACAACTGCACAGTTGCAAACTGCCGTCACAATGCGATAGTACCGTGAAGTTTTGCTAAATGGGTTGACAATCAAATCGTTCTCTGCGATCAGTTTCTCGACGGCCGTACGGAGTCGTAGGCGCGGGCACTGCCTTTTTCAGCAGGTCTATTAGTTCATCTGCACGTCTACTTGCCGATCGATTTAGCAATGTATACTTCAGCGTTCAATGCCACCACTCCAAAACAATGATGGTGTTCGCGATCGCTTCGGTTTCCATATATGGTTAATATTCACGGGCTAGATAATTTTGCTTGAAAGAACCGAGGAATTTTCCGACGGTGAGATCTCATTCCTGTTTCCAGATGTTCAAGACAGTCAATAGCTGCACTTTATCGCGGCTAAATTCCACTTTCCTTGAATTAGGTAAATATTACTTCCAGCCAGCCAGCTATCGCATACTTTACGTCTTTCATCGCCTTTTGAGAGATAAAAACATTTTGCTTCTCAAAAATTGCTCTAAGGCAGTGAAATGCGCATTGCAGAAGAATCGCGGCGAAAACGCGCTTCTTCCTATCTTCGAAAAGATGAGCACTTTCGCCAGTATCGATTCTATTTGACAATAGAAAGGCGCACGAAACACCTCTTCCATAGTCGTCAACGCACATCATAGTGGCAAGCTTCGAGTTATACCTGTTGTACAATGTGTGTCATCTATAAAAGTCCTTTTGCCCTATACGTGCGCATAATTTCTACTTGTTCTGGGGTAATGATGACAAGATGAAAATCGTGGTTCGTTTCAGCTGGCAGACGTATGTGAAGCATACAATCGTTGGTTACATTTGAAATTGAACCTGAGTCTGACAGACTACACATCATCTTTGTAAAAGTCTCCCTGGCTGCAGATAGAGACTCTTGAACGTTCCTGCAGCACATTTACAACAAAACGCCAGATCGTGGTGTTGTTTTCTAATAATGTTCACTATCGTCGGAATATTGAGTCTTGATTTCAGATAATGGCCGATTATTTATTTGTCGCTTTGAGATAAGCGGGAGTGAGGAAAGACCAAAGCATAAATAGTCCATCATGATATTCCGTGGACAATAAAAGGAACAGCGTAATTAACCGCATTGAACGAAAATAATTAATGGACAATAGCTAATTTTTAAATGCATTGATATAAAATTATAAATCTAAATGATATTTCATCTAAAAACGATATACAGTATGTCTCAATGAGATTAATGCCGATTCATAGCACGGAAGCCATCTACCCCTACTCCCTCCATTCCTTCTAATTGCTGTGACATGTTAATACCGAGAAATATGCATTGCATTCTGTACAAGGAGAAACCACGCAGAATAAACGGCTTGATGGCAAGGCGTAAAAATAGTTTTCGCGTAGTAATTTTTTCAGAAATGCAGGAATCCATCATTAAAATACAACGTGGAAGCGTTAATTAGCACGAATTGCACCTTCCAACTCGTAATACCAACTGAAAAGGCCTAATCGAATACTGGTCTATAGAAAAATAGCAATTGTAGCTCAACAGACGAAAGAGCGAATTAATACCTGCTAAGTCTTCAAGCGTTCAAATTACTTTGCAAACAACTAGGTAAAATAGCTTCCTGGAAACAAACATAGGTAAACGGGGTCAGATCTAAGTATATTTTTTCTATATATATCTGATAAAACATACTATTAAACATCTCGCATTTGTCAGTTCTGCTGTGCATGGAATAACACTAATAATCTATATTTTTTCTGATACCATTTATTGCGCCCCTCATATCTAAACAAAACAAAGAGAACCACGCTTGTATCATCCTGCGTCCTCCGGTTAGAGTTGGAAACCGGATCCTACATAAGGCTGGTAAGCCCGAGTCGTGATCCCTCTCACATGCGCTTGCAGTGTTTTGACGCGGAAGCACTTGCCTCTTCTCTTCCCTTTCACGACCATACCACGCCTAGCACCCCCCCAACCACATTAACCTGGGTTGTTTATTTGATGTCATTTTATAAAATACATGTCACCAATGCTTCTCATTATACGTCCTCATTGTGAAAATCACGAGTACAATAGTTAAATAATAAAATAAATAATAAATAAATAAATAAAATAAATAAATAAATAAATAAATAAATGAACATCAGCCAAAAAATGACAAATACCAAGGAAAGACGTAAATCACCTCACAGAAAAAATATCCACACCTTGTGCCCCAACTGGGACCTGAAACACTCGGGTTTTTGAGCTCCATGTAATCTTGGTGATGCCGGATTGCGTGTTACCTCAAATTCGGAGACGGAAGCGAAAGTTTTAGTGGTGGTGGATGGTGTGACCTTAAACGATTAGTGAGAAAGCTCAAAGCTGTCTCTATGGAAGTCCTGAATACCTTGACTTCGATTAGTGGTCGTGAACAAAGATGGGATCGGTGAGTTCCTCTGTTGGGCGGTAACGACCGGAGCATATATTACAGCTCGATTCCAACATGCAGTCGCGATGAACCCATGAATAACATTTCTCGCATGCCCACCAATCGATGACTGCTCCTACCATTACTTCCTCCTCGGAATCATCCAACTCTGGCTGCATTTCATTGCAGATTGCACAAACTTGTATTGCATTCAAATCGATTTCAGCAGGGCTGAAATCCTGATCACATGCCATCTTGAGCTCTCGTCGAGCAGCACGCTGGAAGGTGAACGTTAGGCTAATGGAAGGAACAACACACTCCTGACATACTTTGGCAAGAGTTCTAATCCCCGCTTGAGGTGTCATTACTACGCGTCCACGTACTGGACAATGTCTTCTAGGAATCAGACGCGGTGTTTCAATATTACCTAAATATTTAGTGATAACAAACAGGTCAGCACAACGTTAGAACTGGCTTGGAAATGGTTTTACCTAAGTCCTCGACTAAAATTGCTTTCAATTTATTCATAATCCGATCCAACACTTCAAACTGCTCTGATCCCTGCCACTGACGCGACGAAGCAGCGAAACTTATCCGATCACAAAACTTAACCCAAAACTGATTCGAGGTAGGGATTACAGACCTGCGCACCGCGTACCTCAGATATTGTGGCAATGACAGACTTGGTCAGATCTATTTCTTCGGTCGGTATGTGGGAAGTCGAGTCATTGCCTTCATAAACGTTGTTGTTGTCGTCTGCTAACTCAGCGCCGACAGCAAAGTCACTTACAGGACCTGATCCTAAAAAAGGCGGAGGACTACGAAGGAAGTCCACACTGCGACTTGTCTTACCATCGTTCAATACTGCCCACGCGTGGGCGTGCTTGCATGATATACCGGATTTGACAGAATCGGGACAGCTACACAGTGTTGCTGCAGGACAGACCCCGCAAAGTGGGCAGTGGAGCTTTTCCTAGAAAAAGCACTATCGATGGTAACTTCAGAACATTTGATTGACGATGTAGTAAAACTCATATAATGAATTCGTGAACCACTCACGCTTCCACAGTTGCAAACTGCAGTCGTAATGCGATAATACCGTGACGTCCTGCTGAATGAGCTGATAACCCATTCGCTCTCAGCGATCTTTTGTATATGCACTTGCTCTAGGTGTTCGATCGCCGTACGGTGACGTCGACTGTTCTCCTTGGCTCGATATTTACCGGCTATTAAGCTGCGCTCATCCTCAAAAATATACCGATATTCCCCTGGTGTAATTCTCTTCGTGAGACTGAACAAATACCTGAACAAGGTGCTCTCGCGTGATCATGGGCACTGCCTTTATCAGTAGATCTATGAGTTCATCTGCGCGTTTATTCGCCGAACGATTCAGTAAGGTATACTTCAGCGTCCGATGCCAACGTTCCGATATAATGGTGGTGTTTGCGATCGCATCAGTTTTCATATATGGTGACCATTGAGATTCACGAGGTAGATAGTTTTGCTTGAAATAGTCGAGGAATTTTGCGGCGCTGAGATCTCCTTCCTGTTTCCAGGTGTTCAAAAGTGTCAATAGCTGCGCTTTAGCGCGGCTAAATTCGACTTTGTTGGACTGAGTAAATAGGACTTTTACCCAACCGGCTATCGTATACCGTCTTTCGCTGCCTTTTGATGGATAAAAACGTTTTAGCTTCTCATAAATTGCTCGAAGACAGTGCCAGGCGCACAGCAATGACAGTATCATTTTGCGGAAAGACTGTCTTGTAGGCGTTCCAGAACACCATCGTGTCGTCAGAAAGGAAGAAACGTGGAGAAAATGCTTCGTACGCCTTTTTTACCTCCTCGAAAAGGTAAGCACACTCCACAGTATCGATTTTATTCGACAACAAAAAGGCACATGGAACTCCTCTTCCATAGTCGTCAACGCACATCATAGTAGCGAGCTTCAAGTTATACCTGGTTGTACAATGTGTGTCATCAATAGAGATTCCTTTAGCGCTATACATGCGCATAATTTCCACTTGTTCCGGCGTAATAATGACAAGACGGAAATTGTGGTCCGTTTCAGCTGGTAGACGTAGAAGACGCATGCCATCGCTGGTTACATTCAAATTGAACCTGAGTCTGACAGACTCCACATCATCCTTGTGAAGCCTTCCCGGCAACAGATGGAGGGATTCTTGAACGTTCCTGATATCTGCAGCACATATCCAATAAAGCCGACGGCCAGGGTCGCAGTGTTGTTTTCTTACAATGTTAACAATTGTCGGAATATTCAGTCCTAATTTCAGATGGTGGCCGATTAGTTCTTTGTCGCTTTGAGACAGCGGGAGTGAGGAAAGCAGATACAGTGTGACCCACATGTTCCGTGCAATAGCAGGCACTTACTGAACCGTTTAGGAAAGAGTTGGACCTAAATAATTTTGTTTGCTCAATATAATATAAACCCAGACGCATTTCTACCTTCAGGAACGATGTACAGTGTCTTGTTGAAATTCTAGATTTACGCGGTTGTCTCTTCCCTGTTCCTTCCCTTCTTATCACGCCGGACCTGTTACATATCGGAAATTGCGTCGCATTTCTGTACACATAAGGAACCACCAAGTAAATACCTGTGGCAAACATAATATTTTTTTGTGTGTGCTTTTTCTTTCGATATGCCATTAATCCGCCATTTTATAACATGAGCGTATTCGATGTTTGCCTTCCAAACCTGTAATCAACTACGAATAGGTCCACGAATACTGGTCCCAAAAATCGCATGAGCTCAAGGACGAGAGTTACTAACTGCAGAAAGAACGACCTCACAGGAAAAAATCCACACCTTGTGCCCCAACTGGGACCTGAAACACTCGCGTTTCTTGAGCTCAATGTAATCTTGGTGATGCCGGATTGCATGTTACCTCGAATTCGGAGACGGAAGCGAAAGTTTTCAGCTGTGGTTCGTAGTTCCCACCATGAGCTCCAGCGCAATGGAGATTTAAACCCTCTTGACCGTCCACAGCGGTGTCACACAACGGACAGCACCATGACGAGATTTTCTCGGACGGATAAGCTCGACCATCATCTCCCTTTTCAACATGAAATCGAGATATGTGCTTTTGCAGAGCCTTTTCGTTCACACCTCTATACGAGCACGGGCTGAATGGACATGGGACCATTTTTCCACTAAATTTCCTGTGCTAGCAATCTTCCTCGTTTCGCCATGCGAAGTTCTCAGGTGCGCGAGAAGACGGTAAACAGTGAACAGCTTTCTGCATAAAGAACATTGCTCCTTTTGATATTGCTTCAGTGGTGGTGGCTCACTAGACATTTTGCGTTCAATACACTGACTCTGAAAAAAATGGTAGCGCAGGGTTTGGGCAATCACGCCAAGCCACAAGATTTTACCTTTTACGACCCAAGAAAATAATTCTGATTTGATTGTAAACGCTTATGAATTGCTTGCAGCTTACCAGAATGTTTGTTGTGATATCGATCAACTACTGGCAAATTTTGTCACATCCAGTTCTACGTTTCCATTGGCCGTACTCAATCCTTCCCCCAAGGACACGCGTCCTGCCCCCTTTTCAATCCTGCCCCAGTTTTGGCAATAGACAGAGAAGGGTTGCCTCTTAGGACCGCCACACCCTCTGTGTTTCTTTTCCCAGGCAGCTAGAACAGCGCGATCCTTACCGGAAAGGAACGCTCCAACTGTAATCAATTCAGTGGAGAAATCGCGTTCAGAATTGGGACATGTCGAAATCGCGTCCCTACACCTTTAGACTTGCTATAATTTGAACTTCTACCGGAAGGGTAGACATTAGCATGGATATGATTGACAACAATATGGTGAACATAATAGTTTTTATTAAAAGGAGAAACATGTGTTTCAGCAAAGTTGTGGTGTTTCAAAGTTTGGGGCTCAAAACGGCATATGCCTTTTTCACACGTTGACGACATCGAGTCTTTTAGGTTTTTGCACCGCGTGGGACAGCGACGCTTTTGCGAGCGCAGCCGTCACACCTCAAATTTCGAACGATAACTTTGGGAAGCTTCAAAGGTACGAAACCATTTCAGCAATATTCAATGCGTAGAAAGTAATCGAAGATATAGTAGCGAAATTCCGATCAAAAAACGTGAAATGGTAAAGAAAAAGGAAATTTAAGTCATTTTCTCTGTAGTGGATGCCAAAAGCTATTTTGATGTGGTTATACCAAGTGAAACATGTATTTTTCTGTCTCCTTTAGATTTGTATTTACTTTCACTACCCTTTCTCACTTGACATGTTCATGAGAATAGGAAGAAAACGAGGAATGAACCAAGCTGCCAATTCCGCTGTGCTTAAAAACTTCTGCTAAACTGGAGCATATTTGATCATACCGTGACCCATGTCGTTTACAGTTATGTTATGTTGTAATCCATAGAATAGAGACAAGCAAATTGGGAAGAATCCCCGCATACGCTAGAAAAAGGGATGACAAGGGTGAGACGCGGTAACCGCGTCTCAATGTCCAACGAGGTGCGCAAAGTGAGACGCGTTACCGCGTCTCAATGTCGTCAATGTGTTAACCAACCTAATAAATAAACAAGGGGACGATTGGATCAGAAGAGGGAGACGTGTCGCCCTGGGGGGAAGGATTAATTCGGCCTCAGGTAACTTACAGTGCACGCTTACTTTCACAGTATATTGTAAATGGCCTTTTGTTGATGTGATTCTGATTTAAAAAAAACAATAACAATTTGTAGGGGTCTTCGTCCCCTTTTCACGGTGAAAGACAACATTTGGCAACTGATCAGTACGAGCAAAACCTTAGGCTGGTGTCAGCATCCGCGATCCGGCGGGTGATTCGCAAAAATCTCAAGTGCCACATCTGAACATTTGAACACTAATTATAAAACAAAGGAATCATGAACATTGCCATTGAACCATCACCATCAAAGCGGCGGGATTCGAGAGCACCTTGCAGTCTCGAACGGGCACTTGCGACTCTTGCAACCTGCGACGGATCACGAGCTCTGACCCCAGCCCAACAAACAAAGAACAAAAGTAACAGTAATATACATAGATACTGCAACAACTTAAAACTGTCGCCTAAACCTACACCCTGAAAAAATTCAATACGAGTTTTTTTTTGCCCACTTTTTGAAAGTCGTTCGTTTCGTGACTATGCTCCATTCTCATTCCTTCAACATCCAGCGCTTCCTTCGGCGTTGTTGGAAGATGGTTAGCTTCAAGTGTGGTTAGGAGTAAGTTTAGCGGAACGAAAGAAGAAAGCAAAAGATAATCGCTTATTTAAACCACATGAATTCTCTGCGTAGATACATAGTGGAATTTAGCTGTTCATTAATGTCCCGATGTCAACGTATTTCCTGCTCCAGCTAAGAAATCTTTCACAATTTTCAATGGATTTTAGAAACGTAAATCCTCTGCCGTACACGTAGAAAAAGGACTTGGACGATTTTGATCGCTCTCTCCCGTTATTCATAACAGAATAACAAGCGCTTGGAATCGAGGTACGCCTTATAAGCGATATATACAGAATCGTAGGCATGTAGAAGCATGATTGACCTTGTCCAAGTAGTTGCAACACCAGCAAAGATCAGATTATAGGCTCTGTTGTTTCGATTACGGTTCGCTTTATGACTCAACCGTCTTGGACAAAATTACGTTTAAACGTCACTAATTGCATGGTTGAACCCTTCAATTAGCATTAAATTCACCGCATATGGCTTTGACTTACTGTTATGAATTTCAGGGTGTAGAATTTCAGGGTGTAGGCGACAGTCAACTTTAAGAAATAAAGACACTAAACAACTGGTATGACCTTTGAGCATATAGTTGTTCGATTATACAACTTACCTGCTTCTGCACTGAAACTTTTTTCCCATTGCTTGAATTGACTGTAAAAATATTGGCCAATTTCTTACGATGAGTGAACGACTCTGGCACAAATTGATTAATTCCAGAAAGCATATCAGTAATCTCTGAAATAAATCAACTATTACTCGCCTGATTCAACTGACCGAGCAGGAAAATAGTTCGAGAATAAGGTGAAACAAACGTTCGTTTTCTTCGGCTCCAGTGATCGAGAACGTCTGAGCAGGCACAGATGCTTGAACTTTCGGATTGTTGAAACGAGCGACCGTAAAATCCTTTTTGATCATATCAACCTGGAAGCGCTTAGGCTC